GGCAATCCTTCGGAGACAATATAGAGGCTAGCTGCAGGGCCTTGTTTTGAGGTTTTGTGTTGGGACGAATATGACATAAATGGTTATTCATTTTACACAAAAACCCAAGATGATAAGAGTACCGTGCAAAACAGTAGGGTGATAGTAGTAGCCAAAGCTATGCATTTTGCTAGTTCTAAAGATAGAAACCCAATGTTGGCAGCAATGTCGTATTGTGGAATAATAGAAGAGATATGGAAGGTTAGTTATACTAAGTTTAAAGTTCCTGTCTTCAAATATAAGTGGGTTAATAGTAATGCTGTGCAAGTAGATGAAGAATTTGAATTTGTTTTGGTCAATCTTGAGAGGTTTGGATATAGAGATGAGCCATTTATTTTAGCAAGTCAAGCAAAACAAGTGTTTTATGTTCCCGATCTAGTAAAGAAGAAATTGTCTATCGTGCTTCAAGGTAAGAGGCAAGGAGTTGGTGGAGATGATGGTGACTCAGAGTTTAATCTTGATGACACCCTGCCTTTCACAGCTGCTTGACCTAAAATAGTTGAATTAGATTTAGTAGATGATGACTATGCTGTTAGAGATGATCATTACAAAGGAATTTGGGAGGATAATCATTGTAAGGCCTAAATAAATTATTTGACGTTTCTTATTAAAATTCATTTCATATTTATTATTATTCATAATATGATGTTTTTTTGTTAAATATACTTAATATTTTATATTAACTTGATATTTCTTATTCTTACATTTATTAATTAGTTGTTCTTTGAATAGGAAATGGATGGATCTGGTCAACAGGGTTCTAGCGATGACAGCTCCTTTACTAGCCAGAGAAAGGGTAGATGGCCAACCCGTATGAGGCATTTGACTTTACGTGATGAGACCACACAACCCATGAGGATTATAGTGAAGTTTGATGATGATTTAAAGTCTGTAGAAACGAATGGGGCTCAATTTACTAGTTATGTGGGTTATGGTGCATGCAATAAGATTGGGATTGACATTCCTAGCCGGAAGAAGGTGGATAAAGATTTGAAGCAAAACATTTGGGAGGATATTTTGGTACATTACGAATTCTTTTCTCTATTTGTATAAATTATAATTGCTCATTTACTTATAACCTATGCTATTGTATTGTAGCTGACATTTGATATTCTTGCCACTGAGCAAATGAGAGATCGTCTGTTTAAGCAACTTCATAAATAGTGAAGGGATTTTAAATCCACGCTTACAAAACACTATATTCATAGAAAAAGAAAGGGTGAGCATCCTAAGGAATAATACCAATTTATTAGTGACGAGACATGAGAGAGTTTTGTGAAGCAACGTGAAGACATTTCAGGTTTGGTTTCTTCAAACTTAGTTTTTAATCAGTTCATATTTTATTTAACTAAACTAACTTTGTTGAATTTGTTTCATTGACATAGGCACTAAATCAGAAGAACAAGCAAATATCTGAGCAGAATGTGTACTCACATACCATGTCTCGTGCATGATATAGTGGGTTGGAAAGAAGTATGATGGAGGAACGGATGAAGAATGCACAGATGGTTGCTACTTCAGATCCTACTGGCTACATTCCACCCATTGAGCGTCCTTCTCGCCAAGAAAAATGGAAGGTGGTGAGAATTAAGAAGGGTCAATACATTACTCTAGAGTCTGCTGCTATTGCTGAGAGGATTGTAAGTAATATTTATACATTATGCTTCATTAATTGCTTTTTTTCAATTATCTTAAATTGAATTTGTTGCTTTAATGTTACAGGATACACTTGAGGAGTAATTATCCCAAGGTACATTTCTCCCTCAAGGACGGATAGATATCTTGGCCATTGTCATTGAAAAAGCTGACCATCCCAGTAAAGTCAGAGGAGCCCTTAAATAGATTGGTATTAAACAATTTTTTGGCTTGGTTCACGAAGAAGCACTGGATCATCCTTTGCTAACATGGTATCCAAAGAGGAGCTCGATGAGCAATTACATGAAGAAATGGAGAGAGTTCGTGAACTCAATGAACAACACAAGGCAGAGATGCAAAAGATACATGAGGAGTTCGATGCCAAAGTTTCAACAAGCTATGATGATGATGGGCATGACCAGATTCCAAATGCCCTGAGTGTCTGAACCTTCCTAGGTAATAATCACACATCTTTTCAAATCTTCTAAAGGTTCATTTGATCTATTTAAACTTATTTAATATGCCTTAACTAATTTCATATTATGTTTCAGGGTTCACCTATGATAAAAAGTAGGAAGGGCAGTAACAATTAGACGCAGCAACTGATAGTGTCTGACCCTGACCCTAGCCTCGACCTTGTCGAAGACGATGGAATGTTGTGTGCTCTTTATGTGGACTTTGAAGATTTAGCTATCATGTCTCTAATGGTTGAGCATTCTTGGGCACAACGATCCATGGCATGAAATTTCTGAAGGATCAAGTGAGGGTGACAGTGGATAGGATTCTTAGTGGTCATGGTGGTACACCAGTGCCCGATCCTATTGATGAGGTTCGACCATTGGCTTAGGCTAAAGAACATTTTATTTTATAACTAAAGAGACTTGTTGCAAAGCCATTGATGAAGAAGGCCACAAAGATCGCATCATCAGATCCTGTACTTTGCCTCTTCCTGGTGATTTTGCGCTTATGTATTCCAGTTTGGAGGTTCTTCATTCCGTACTGGCAAACATGAATAAACCTGTTATTTTCAAGATGCCTTTAAGGATTGTGGGTTCAGATATAACATATGACTTCACTATTGACAAGAAAGACCTCGTTTAGTTTCTCAACTTTGAGGAGCTGGATATAGTCTTCATACAGCTGGCTATTTTGTAAGTTACAATATCATTTTCTTAATTCATATTATACTTATGCATATCCTAATGTTTCTTATTTGAACAATAGGCACTTTACTCAAATCTATCAGTAAGGAGGATCTAAAGGAACATATGGCTCTACGTCTCCTTAAAGGGTGCAGAAAATAGTCAACATTGTGGAAGCAAGGTCGATCTACATGATGACCACAATGACTCAGACAAGAAAGCAAATATATTTTGCACCTTATATGGAAGGGTAAGTATATTATTGTATTTGAGATACACAAGTTGTATGTATAGGATTATAATTAATATGGTTCGTATTTTGCAGTTATTATTGGACCCTAATTGTTTGTGTCCCTTTTGATAACAAAGTCTACTGGTTCGATTCTCTCTATGGAAGTCCATCCAAAGAAACCAGAGATGTCGTCGACACGTTAGTTTATGTTTATATATTTATTACATGTGAAGTTTATAAAAACATGCTCTAATATAATTTTTTTTATTGTTGATAGGGCTTTTCATAGTTTCCATATTATGGCGAAGAAGCAAAATAGACAACCACCAACATGGATTCTCCTAAAAGTATGTTGTTTTGAGCTGAATATATACTTTTAAATCTCTTTCAATAATTAAAGTTAATGTTTATAATCAAAGTCTAATATTCAATTTTATATTTTATTTTGTTAGTACCGTTGTCAACAAGGGAGTGTTGAATGTGGATATTATGTCATCCGCCACATGAATGACATCATTGAGACAGGGGTGACTGAGAAATTAGATGAGGTAAAGATAAGTTACATTACATGCAATTCTTCAATTATTTTCATATTTTTGATTAAGTTGACTATGTTATTTTTAATTTACAGGTATTTCAAAATGTTGCGTCATATCAAATGGAAGAAATCAACTTGATGAGGAACACTTTCTCAACAATATTGCTACAGAGTTTTGAAAATTTGAAATAATTAGATCATTCCTCAGAAAATTCATTGTTAGATTTTTTTCTCTTAGTTTCCCCCCTATACATGTTCCTTAGTTCTATTGAGCAGATAGAATTAACTTAGCTTGTTACTATTCTTTGAATTATGCCTTTACTTGTAGTTAGGAGAAGTAGCAAGCTTGTGAGATTCCCTTGAACTTATAAATCCCGTAACACTTGTAAGATTCCCAATGTAGGACTCATATCAGAGCATCCTCTGAGAGCCGATGTCTCTAACGGCTCCACTCTACGGCGCTTTACTCGGTCTTCTTACTGGTCAAAACCCTCCACAGGTAGCCCTTTCCGTTTGGTCAACTCTCAACGAGAGCACCAATGTGATGAGCATAAACCCAAGGGAAAAGCCCAATCCCAAAAGACTAGTCTATTTGGAGGGAGAGCCCCTTGAATTTATAAATCCCACAACACTTGTGAGATTCCCCAATGTGGAACTCATAACAGTAGGTGGGTTAGGAGGGGAAGTGTTTATCTCTGTAAGATACTTAAAACAGAGTTAGTCATTGAACTTGGTAAAGACAATAGTTCAAGATTTAATGGTTCTATCATGGTTGAACTAGCATCAATCAAATCATGATTAAAATAATATAATTTAATTAAAATATACGTAAATATTTATATATTACTTTAAAAAGTATTATTTAAATAAATTAAAATAATACAATTTAATTAAAATATACAAAAATATTTTATATATATTATTTTAAAAGAGTATTATTTAAATAAAAAGACATCAATCCCCAAATAAATGGCATATTCCTGTATAAGCTACATATAATCCAACCAACAAAATAAAGTTACTAAAGCACAAATATGATGAATTATTATTTTAAATTTTTTTTCAGAAAAACAATTCAAAAGGATGTCAATTTAAGCACAATAAAGGGAGAAAAATTATAAAATTAAACTCAATCAACCCCGTCCAAAACTCTTCATCAAATGAGAACGTGATAGATTCGCCAGTTACTATTTTTTGTGTCTTCTTCAATTCAAAACAATATCATTTCAGGAGAGAAAAAAATATTTAACACAATCAACCGGTCCAAAAACTCTTGACCAGACTAATCCAGAATTGATTTACTAGTTCTTTAGTTTGACTAGCTGACTTGAATTGAATTTTAGTGTCATATTTATTTTTGGTGAGTGTGAAGTAAGAAAATTTTTCTTATAAAAAGTAACCAAATGACTTTATATATAGATTGTATGTTTATTAAAATCATAGACTTGTAAATCCCATTACAATCAAACATATTACATCGTTCGCATTATTCATTACACAAAGGCATCCTTAGGCCATTAATTAGCTGATAGATAATAAGCTCAAATGCATATTCAAACCACAGATACAATACTTCATAACGTAGCTCATAGCTAGTAAGGTTTTCTGTTGTTTCATTTATTTATTTTCAATGCAAATTATTTCCTTTCATGGATCGATCAATAAGGTCTTTGTCCCTCGTAGTTGCCAGGAGGATCATAGTTGCAGCCAATGAAAGTGCCTCCATTGTTACACCTCACTTTAGCACAACCAACACGAATCGAATTCTTCCATACCACCTGAGTATAGTGCCGGCACTCCCCACCAACGCACGAGTTGCTATTGTGGTCATACTTCGCCTTCTCATCCACCCACAACTTCACGGCGTCTGTGCCCGTCATGCTCCCTGCGAGGTTCTCACCGTACCGGCCACGGGAGTGGACCAGCTGGCAGTTAGCCTTGCGCTGGTTAGCATAGTTTCGGGCATAAGCAGCCACGGTATCATCCCAAACTATGTTTGGGACTCCCACTTGTGATCTTGCTGCGTTGTGGGCATTCACATAGTCCCGTGGTGAGTCCTGAGCACAGGCCATGATGGCAAAGAGAACAAAGAAGAAGAAAGGAAATGGAAGCTTTGACGATAACTCCATTGTTTGTTATTATGTGATGTGTTTGATGACGGAAATGGGAATCCTTAAGGAGGAACTTATAGGGATTTTCATGTGGAAAATTAGTAGCGTGTAGCTCATGTAATGGGGGAGAGAAAGAGATTGATACATCTGTCTCTAAATTGTGTGGACTGGATAGTTTGGAGGAATCCTAGTTGGTAAAAGATTGAAAGGGTGTATACGCCAGAGGTGTTTATCTCAGAGGACTCTTTCTAATGTGACGGATAGGAATTTTCCTTGAAACCCGAGTATTAATAATTTACAACATAGTTTTGGTAATTTACTCTTGCATTAGGGTTTTGATAATTTTGGTGTTTCATTAATTCACATTTATTTATATTTTTCATTAAATTTTCTACTAACTATATGATATTAAGTACTGTCAAAGTGTTCCTTGTGGAAGTGGAGTCCTCATTTGCGATCAACACCAGGTGTCCATCGGTGTAATGCACTCTAGACAATTCAAAATCTGATATGAATGGTTGAGATTTAAAATTTTTAATATATAATTTTTCAATGATAAATTTATTTTTTAAAGAAGTATTAGTTATAAGATTATCTTTATTTTAAATTTTTTATCTATTAAAATAAATATTAATTAAACCATATGAAAAAACTTAAATTCAGTTTGGACCATCCAAAATCAATTTGAATTCAAATTAAGATGAGCACCCCATCCTCATCATTGTGATGAGTATCGAATGTGCTCTCGTAAAATTGGTTTTAGCCACTTAAACATTAGGTCTCAGGTTTGAATTTGCATCAATGGAAAAACACTTTCGGGGAGAGCTAGTTTCAATTAGGCTTGACAGCACCCGAACATGACCTAGTTAAATGGCCATATCAAAATGCTAGGGGGATGTTAGATATTTTATTTATTTATGATATGATATTTTGAATATTTGAAATTATATATAGATATTCTGGGTATCCAGTCATCTTATTTAACTAAAGTATTCTTAAGTGTGCCTGTTAGTTTTGACAGGTGATAGACGTTACTTCTTTTTTTGGTAAGAAGACGTTACTTCTAATTGTCATCACCATGCCCACAAGTCAGGCAAAAGATTCCCTTACAAATTTCTTCTATTTGTGTTTTATGCTTCCCGTTTTCAGGGACGATCTAGCATGCAAAAGGTATTTATTTGAGCTTTTTTACAGCTACTCTAAATTGTGAGAATTTTTTAAAATACTTTTTATATGCTTGTTTTGGCTTTAATTATAAGTGCATTCAGAATATGTCACACCGGTTTAGCTGACAGGCTAGCGAAAGCTCCTCATGACATGGAAGCTAATTTTTGTTTTCCTGATCAATCTCCACTTTTTCCACTTTTATTGGTGGGGGTGGATCTTAACGAAGGTGGTTAGCTTGTGCACTGATTTTGGTCAATGGTGAAGGGAGTTTCTTTTTACTCAAGAGTAGTTAAGGCATTTCATTAAAAATAATATTTAAGTCTTTTTTGGCTAGCTAAAAAATAGGGAAAATGGCAAATAAAGACTCTTGAATATATATATATATATATATAAAATGGCAAAATAGGTTTCTGAATTAACATAATTGCTGTCAGAGACCGAGTCCTAAATTACAATTATGAAATGAAGCCCAAATGACTAAAATGCCATTCTTTTTCTCTTTCTTCTATCACCCCATCTCTTTCTCTTTCCTTCTTCTCTTCCTCTCTCTTCGTCCTTCTCTCCCTCTCCCTCTCTCTTCTGTAAAAAATTTCTATGACTTCCTCTCTCTCTCTCTCTCTCTTCTCTTGTTCCTTCTTCTACTCTCCTTCGACTTCATTCTTCTTCTCTAGAACCGTGACTTTCTTCCATGTTTTTCCCAACCCATTGATTTGCAATAGGAGAAATGAAAACATGTTAACCATGGATATTCCATATTTAATTTTCTACAAAACATGTAATGCTAATATAGTACTCTTCATGTATACAAAAGCTGTCATTATCCACAATCTCATCTCATGCTAATATAATATATCTATGACTTATAGAACAAAAGCTCCACTCAAGCTTGAAAGACCAACTTCATGCTTATCAAAAACTGCAATTCACGACAAGTTCAATAAGACAAATGACAAGTTTCGTAAAGTGAATGACAACTTCTAATAAGCAATTCATGGGAATTTAAGTTTTTGTGTTAAAATGACAAAATTTTCATATTTCTTTAGCAGATGACAAGTTCTAATAAGTAATTCATGACAAGTTCAGTAAAGCGAATGACAAGTTCAGTAAGGCGAATGACAACTTCTGATAAGCAATTCATAGGAATTGAAGATTCTGTGATAAAATGACAATTTGTACAATTCCTTGGTGAGTGACAAGCTTAGCAAGGCGAATAACAACTTCTGATAAGCAATTCATAGGAATTCAAGTTTTCGTGTTAAAATGACAAAATTTTGAGATTTCTTTAGCAGATGACAAGTTCTGATAAGCAATTCGTGACAAGTTCAGTAAGGCGAATGACAACTTCTGATAAGCAATTCATAGGAATTGAAGATTCTGTGATAAAATGACAATTTGTACAATTCCTTGGTGAGTGACAAGCTTAGCAAGGCGAATAACAACTTCTGATAAGCAATTCATAGGAATTCAAGTTTTCGTGTTAAAATGACAAAATTTTGAGATTTCTTTAGCAGATGACAAGTTCTGATAAGCAATTCGTGACAAGTTCAGTAAGGCGAATGACAACTTCTGATAAGCAATTCATAGGAATTTAAGATTCTGTGTTAAAATGACAATTTGCACAATTCCTTGGCAAATGACAAGTTTAGCAAGGCAAATAACAACTTCTGATAAGCAATTTATAGGAATTTAAGTTTCCGTGTTAAAATGATAGAATTTTCAGATTTCTTTAGCAAATGACAAGTTCTAATAAGCAATTCATGACAAGTTTAGTAAAGCGAGTGACAACTTCTGATAAGCAATTCATAAGAATTTAAGATTTTGTGTTAAAATGACAATTTGCACAATTCCTTGGCAAATGACAAGTTTAGCAAGGCAAATGACAACTTTTGATAAGTAATTCATAAGAATTTAAATTTTCATGTTAAAATGACTGAATTTTTAGATTGCTTTAGCAGATGACAAGTTCTAATAAGCAATTCATAACAAGTTCAATAAGGCAAATGACAAGTTTAGTAAGGCAAATGATAACTTCTAATAAGCAATTCATAGGAATTTAAAATTCTGTGTTAAAATGACAATTTGCAAAATTTCTTGGTAAATGACAAGTTTAGCAAGGTGAATAACAACTTTTGATAAGCAATTCATAGGAATTTAAGTTTCTGTGTTAAAATAATAGAATTTTCAGATTTCTTTAGCAAATGACAAGTTTTGATAAGCAATTTATGACAAGTTCAGTAAGGGGAATGACAAGTTTAGTAAGGCGAATGACAACTTCTGATAAATAATTAATAGCGATTTGAGATTTTTTTTTTGTTAAGATGACAGCACAGTTTCTGCAATTAGCCATTTGAATTCAAAAGAGTGGTAGAAAATCATGTTTGAAAAATATTATGAAGCTACCAGCAAAAGACAGAAAAATCACATTTGCATTCAATATAATTTTATTCCATCAGTTCAATCATTTACATATGAAAATTAAAACTAACAACCTCTTTGATTACCAAGTAGTAACAGTAAGCTCAAAATTCCTATCCATTTCAGTGGCAGCTTTAATATTTATAAGGAACTTGCACTAAAATCCACCTTTTCTAGAACCTTCATGATGATTGTCACATTACTACTTGGACCCAACCCCTTCTCATCCTTCTCGTTGACATCACCACCTTCTAACCCCACCGTAAACACCGCCACTCCTTCTCCTCTGATCCCAATTCCCAACTCCTTGTAGATCCCTCAAATCCCAAAAACCTCCTCCATAATCCTTAAAACCGTCTTCCAATGTCGCCCTAATGCACCATCACAATTCCAAATACTATAAACCTGTCAAAGATGGCATTATTAGACTAGACGGTGAAGGTAAAGCCACTAGCAAAGAGAAGGACGAAGAGAGAGAGAGAGAGGAAAAGAAGAAGGAAAGGGAAGAAGATTTGGAGAGGAAGAAAGAGAAAAAAGAAGGGTATTTTGGACATTTTACTATCATTTTATATTTGCAATATAGGACCGGGTCTCCTAAAGCCATTTTTCATATTAAGGAATCTATTTAGCAATTTCACATATTGGGGGTCTTTATTTGCCATTTTTTCTAAAAATATCCTTTCATTAGAAGTAATCATGTTTGAGACATTATCAAATACTAAATATGAGTACATTTTTTAATAAAAATTTGAATATTGATTCACCATGTTGTAAGAGGTTAATCTGTTTCGCTGACCCCAATTAGTAGAATTAAATCATTTGGTGGAATTACCTTACCACCATTTTTTTTTGCTGTTATGTGCTTCTTTTTTTCAAGTTTTGTTGGGGCATGTTCAAATTAAATGGCCCGATCAACGCGAGGATTGTGTGGAAAATTCAGAATCGAGACTTTCCCACATGTTTCGAATGAACGCCAACTTTAATAAACCATTGACTTTGAGAGCATAGTTTATATCCAACGGTGCAATTTGTTCAGTTAGGGATTTTTTTCTTCGGATGAAAATAACAGTTAAAGAAACCTAAATATTTTAATATTAATGTAGTAATAGTTACATGTCTTAAACTTTTTGTCATACAATTATTTCCATATATCTGTGTGTATGATGGTAATTAAATAGTCCACTTTTATATTGATGAAAAATGCTGCCTGATAATTAATAATTAAGTAAGAATATGTAAATGCAAAAATCTAATACTGTGGGGAACAGTAATGAATGAGGCACATTGTTCCCTAAGGCGTGCTATAAATTTTTTATTAATCATATATATTGATTATCAACTCATTTTTATTTTCTTGTGGTGATCATATTCCGCAACATGAATGAATAAAATATAAAAATCTTATTTAATTATAAATTTATGTCCACATCAGTGAATTGATTACTCTTCAAATATG